CCGGGCAGCAGGATCCCCTGCAGGAGGGGTTTGTCCACCTTCCTGCTTCCAGGTGGGCTGGATACAAGAGACAACACAATAACTGAGTACATATAGTACAAATATATATGTGTGTTTAATAAAGTAAAGGGCAGCGACGTAGACCAAATTGTTAATACAAATAAATGAATGAGGATGCGACCACAGTCGGACCGGTGCACAGACCAGCTCTTTGTCGTGCTTTGATCACTGAACGTTGTCTCATCAATAATCAAACAAAGCTATTTAAATAATTACATTTGTGGGTTTGAATAATGCAAATGTTTAAAAATATTTCTATTTCTAAGATTTTCAGGGTTTACTGAAACTGAAGCCAAGTACTGCTGATCGTACTGCAGAATCTAGCTAGCACTACAGAAGAAGAGGTATAAAAGTGTTTCTGTCAGCTCAACAATCATCAGCGCACACACAAACTTTGTGTGCAGTTTGTCTCACAGTGTGTTGCCGCTAAAGGTCCAGCTGCTGATTTCAGGGAGAGAGAAAAGAAAGAGAGCTAACTTCACTCACAGATGGAGAAACATAAGAAAGTTAGGATGCTCATTTAAAGTCACATGTAGTAATTTTATTCACCTGGATTTGAATATAACATGTTTTGATAAATTATGTATTTTTATTTTGTAAAACGTCCTGCAAAAACGAACTAAAATATACAACCTTGTGTTATTCAAGTGTTGCATGAAAATACAGTTTAGTAGGATAAGACTCGCTCACGCCAACAACACACTCGGCCTTCCTGATGAGTTTGTTCAGTCTGTTTGTGTGAAGAACATTTAAAGTAAGGAACAGTGTGTGACTGCTGCACAGTGGCCATGCTCAAGGTCAGAGCTGAACTTTAGCTGATGATGCTGAGACTCACTCACTTCAACTTTGGGGTCGGACTCGAACCCAGCCATACTACATGTGGGCCAACGCAGTATTTTCATTTTATTTTAAAACATTTAAAGCCATCCGCTGTTTAACGTCATCCAGGCAGCGTAATAACAGCTAAGGTGAGTCTGTCCCTGCTTTTAAAGGCAGATTCATCTGCAAGTCATCTGCAAAACAGTGGAATGAAAATAGACCCCAGTGGTGACATGTACAGTGTAAACAAGGCAGGACCCAAAATAGAGCCTTGAGGTACGCCATAATTAAGAGGGAGAGCCCATGTTGACGTAAAACGTCCTTCCTGATAAGTAGGACCGAAACCACTGAAGAGCTGATCCTTTTAGGCCAGCATGTGACTGCAGCTGTGATAGCAGGAAGGGTCAGAGCAGACTCTGCCTGCTGAGGAGATCTTTCTCCTGCAGGTGGAGGTTCTTCTTTGACTCTATGGTGCTGTCTGTTGGAGCAGCAGCTTATCTACAGCTGAGAGGATCAGCTCATCAGTGAGGCCAGGTCTGTGCTAGGATAGGAGATGGGCAGTAATCCGTAATCCGATTACTTTTTTATAGTCATGAGTAATGTAAGGCATTACTCATGCAAAAAAGTAATTAGACTACCTTTACTTTCCCGTAAGCATGCTGCGTTACTGTGTTAGAAAAGCGTTGTGCTTTTGTCGTACGAGCGTGCGACGCCTGTGGCAGCAACAGACGTGTGCAGATCAACAATGGC